TATGCATGCATTCATGAGCAGCTTTTGCCAGGCTCTGGCTGGAGATGTTACATGCTTCATTCAGTTGCTGCAGAAGGGCTTGTGCTTGGGAGCTGAGGGGGTTTTACTAGAGCTGATGATGCCTGGGCTTGCTGGGGAGGTAATTGGCTTTTAAAAGGGTTGTTTGCAGTGAAGAGCAGCAGCAGAACACCAGATTTTCATCATCTCCAGTGACTGTTAACATGAGAGTAGATGGGGTGAGGTTAGGGAAGTTATTTGGGGATAGCTGGTCCTGCTTTGAGGACAAGGGAAGGGCAGAGGATTTCTAAACATGCCTTTTTCTATGACCCTGTGGTTTTTCCTCACTGCATTATAGCAAGGGTAGACCATCCAAGCCTTTCCCCCTCTACTGCGTGCATTACAGAGCTTGTCCTGCTTCCTTTGGCAGTGTGAGGACAGCAAGGTCGATGCTCTCACTGAAGCTCTGCAGGCCACTGTGATGAGATGGAAATGCAAATTCCCTGCTCCTCTGCCACTGGAGCTCTACACATCCTCAAACTTCATCGGGCTTTTTGTCAAGGAAGAAAGTGCTGAGGTGCTCAAGAAGTTTGCTGCAGACTTTGCTGCAGAGGCTGCTTCTAAAGCAGGTGAGTGACTACGTGACAGCTACAAAGAGCTCACTCGCAGCTTGGTCAAGGATTGGGCATTTTGACTTTTGATGGTGTGAAGAAACATAGCTCATGAAACCAGTCTGATTTTTACATGTGGACTGAAGGCTGAGCCCCAGAGGAACACCCCACCCCGTGCTTTGGGTTTCAGTGCTTTTTCAGTTGAAAGATCACCTCACACTTAGTCTCAAGCGTTATCTCCTGAAAGGGAAGTTGACATTTGGTGGTTCCTTAACCTTTCAGATAGATGCTTTGTTTGCAAGGCTGAGCATTTCCTGCACCACTCACTGTGTCAAGCCACTGCCACAGAACTTTCCTCAGCCATGTAAAGGCTCTGTTCATTTGTTCACTGCATTTCTGAGATGTAAAGAGAAGACCCCAAGTGCCCTTTTGAATCCCAATACCGACACCTCTGGCTCCATTGCCTGATCCTCTACTACTTCTGGAAGGGGGGAACCCATCAGGAGCTGGGAGAGGGGAAATAACCAGGGCACCCCATGCTTCAATGGTCTCCACTGCTGAACAGGCTCTCTGGGTGTCCTCCAGTTACCTCCAGACTTGAAAGTCAGAACTGTATCAGCTCCCTGACTAATCCTCCCACCTTCCATCACTGTAGTGCTCAGCCTGGACTAGTCACAACACAACCAGTTTAGTCCTTCGTTATCCTGGAGTTTAAGTGCATCAAGATATGGCAACTTCCAAGTCCCTGGCATGCTTCCATGCTCGACAGGCAGCCCGTAACACCATGCAGAACATCTACAAGTCCCTGCCTCTGATTCAGAGGAAGAGAAACAGATGTCACAGGTTCACCACACATCTGAAATGCAGTGCTTTCACCCGATAGCGACCTAGAAGTTATTTTCCCTTTAGAAGAGGGAGGGAAGAGCTGTTACCTTACAAATGCACATTTGGAAAGGCAGCAACAGGCATAGAGACATCAAGCAGGTCCAAGGACTGCTGCAGCCACATGAGAGTGGTACAAATGTTCCCCTCCAAACCAGCACAGTCAGAAGGGGCAGTTCTTACCCCAACAACACTGACCCAGAGAAGGAAGCATCAGTGGCTTCCAACAAGTATCTGCCCCTGCAACTGCTCCAATTCAGACCAAATTGGTTCTTTCATAAAGGAAGCCGACTGCTGCATTGCAGTCCACAGTTTGGTCAGGTTATCACATTAAAGTCTCCGGGGCTTTTTCAAAGATCCAGAGCATATTTTTTCCTGCTG